CCATTTCCCAGTTCTGTCAGGTGGCCGCAGACCTAGCTTGGGAATAGATACCCAGCAAAGGTGCTGGGTGTCCTGGGGCAAGTTGCTTAACCTCTCTGGGCCTCGAGTTGTGGAGTGGATTAGGTAGCTGGAGATGAGGAAGGAGGAGGTGGTTACAGGAGCATGCTTTGAACTCCAGAGAGCTGGGCTGCCAAAATAGCAGAGATGCTTATTAATTACATCTCAGTGGCAGCAATAATTACCCCATCTGGTTCTGGGATGGCAGCCAAACCTTGGTTTTTATTTGTGTTGAAATAACTCTCCTAAATGTGTTTGGTGGGCTCTGACTTGGCAGGATGGGTCCCCCAAAACTCACCGAGGAGGAGTGAACATGAGACCTCCCTAGGACCCCAGGAAGGGGCACTAGCCCTCAGGCAGGGCTTTGAAGAGCTCCTAATGATGGCAGTGGTGGCTGTCATTTACAGTTTGTTTTGTAAGCATAATTTTATTTAATCTTTACAATAGCCCCATGAAGTAGGGACTAATCCCACCCCCCACCACCTAATGACAGTAGGGAAACTAAGACTCAGGAAGACTGACACTTGCCCAAAGTCAAGTAGAAAGCGAAGGGGCCAGAATTAGAACCCAGATTTCTGTAACTCCTGTGCTCTAACCAGCTCTCTATCCTGTCTCACCAAGAGGCCTCTATGGTCCTGTGCAGAGAGCGGAGGACCGAGTGTGTTTGCTGTGCAGACTCCATGGTATTCTGTGCTCTTGTGGCAGTGGATTTAGCGGCATGGTACTAGCAGAGGCAGAATCACAGGTCCCCAGATCATCTAGGCAGGAGTTGGCATGCTTGGTCCTGTGCCAGGGAAGAGAGAGATGTGGGACCCAGGCTGACTCTGAGACCCGCTTAGATGCCCCAGCCAAAAGAGGAAGGCTGCAGGGAGAGGGAAGGAGGGTCGAGGAGGTGGGCCTTGGACAAGTCGGGGAGGACAGAGCAGTAGGGCTAGCTGGAGGGATGCAGGGTTCTACTTGCCACTTCCCGGCTATTTCGGGTCCAGGTGGATGATGACAGACTTGAGTGTGAGGTTAGGGCTCACTTAGAAAGGGAGGAGAGCTGGCTGGTTAGCTCAGTTGGTTAGATCGTGGCCCTGTAACACCAAGGTCAAGGGTTCAGTTCTCTGTCCAGCCAACTGCCAAAAAAAAAGAGAGGGAGGAAGGTGACCTCCAGGGACATCATCCTTCTATATCCCCTTTCTGAGGGAGGGTTCTCTTGGTCAGGATTGGCAGACATGGGGAGGGTGGGACACAGTTGGGGCTGCAAGTGGGGATGTGTGAGATATGTGTGTATCCAAGTGTGTGCGTCTGTGTTGAAGTGTAGGTGAATTTCAAGGGGAGGAGAGCTTCTGGCTGTGAATTGACGGTGTGTGTATTATGAATGTGTGCACAGGTGTGTACCATTGTGTCTATGTGTTTCTGTGTGTATGTATGTGACTTGTATGTCTGTTGTGTCTCTGCTGTGTATGTCTGTGTAAGTGTCCATGTGTACCACTGTGAACCTGTGGGTCTGTGTTGGTGTCTGTCTCTGTGTCGGTATGTGTCTATGTGACGCAGCGTGTGTTTGCCTGCATGTGGGCCTGTGGACTGGTTTGGCCTAGTTTGGGGGTGACTCACAGGTAAGCGGGGAGAATCCAAGACTTGTTGGGTTACACAAAGCTCTTTCCCACACTCCCCCCACCCGCTCTTCAGCCTCTCCTTTCCCAGCTCCACACACCTTGTTTGGAGTTCACAGATCACCCTGCCAACAAATCCACTTTTGGTCTGGGGCCCTGGGGAAGAGAGGTCTCTGGAAATGGCCAATTCTTCTGGTTCAGGAGAGGCAGTCTGGGTCATTGGGGTGTGTCTTCAGAGCAAGAACAGAACGGGAAAGCTATAGGCAGGCAATTCCAGCATAGTCTGAAGAACATCCTAGCAGTCATGACTGTCCAGTGATGGTACAGGTGAATTGTCAAGCGGTGGCCTTCCTGTCCCTAGAGGTATGCAGGCAGAAGCTAATGACCACATGCTTGTGGAATGAGTGACTATAAGGGGTGTTGTCCAGGGGTGGGGTTGAGTTGAGAAAGGCACTGGTTTCTGATTGACAATATCTGATCTAGTTACCACCAGCTTCCTTTGAAGGTAGTCTCCTGTTGCTTTGCCGAAGCCTATGGGCCTTCGAAGTGTTGTTCCTGTTTTTATGTCTAATTCTTTGATCCCTGGACTGCTAGTATACCATCTTCAATGAGAAAGTTGGCTTTGGATGAACGTAACCACAGCCTAGCCCATTGCCTGATACAATTAACGTTGAATGAATCAGTGAATGAATGAATGAATGAATGAATGAGTTAGAACCCAGGCTCTCCCATTTACTTTAAGCACCTTCAGGGACAAAGAATCTCAGTGGATGGTAGGTAGTTACTATTCTTATTCAGAGATGGAGAGGAAACTTAATGAGGAGGACAGGGACTTAGGCCTCAGGGAGGGGGTCAAGCTCATGTGAGGGAGTCCTAGTGAGGAAGACAGGGGTTCCATGAGAAGAAAGGGGGGTCCTTAATGAGGACAGGGAGGAGGTTGGGGCCTCAGGGAAGGGCTAAAATCTAGGACCTTGGGTGTCTGGTTGTGTCCTGTCCTCAGGAAGCTCTGGCTTGGGAAAAGGACTGGGGATCCATCTAAGCCTTCCACCTTATCCATGCACAAGGCTTTTCTAGGGCCCTTCAGACCTGGCCCAGACACTGTCATAGTTACCAGTAGTCCTGGAGTCAGGTCAGGCATCTCTGGGCCTCAGCGCCTTTCATCTCTGCCCCTCATAAAAACTGAGTCACTGCTGGGGCTACAGGGCAGGGTCAAAGTTCTTGGTTCTACCAGCTTCTCAGGAGGAAGGGAGATGGAGATAGGGGTGGAGAGGTTGGAACAGTGGGTCCATTTCTGGCCCAGGGTGGGGTCTCTGGGCTCTGCCTCCTGGAGAGAAGGAACAGACCTGAAGACAGGCCAGTCCTGAGACTGGGGATGAACAGGCTGACCTCTTGGGGTCCTTGGGGTCTGAGAATAGAATTGCCCTGGTCGGTGCAGCCTGGAAGTCAGAGGGTGGGGGTGGACAGCCCCTCCAGGACTGATGTGGCTCCCTTTAAAAGTAAACCCCCAGTGGGGCTGGCCGGTTAGCTTAGTTGGTTAAAGTGCAGCCTTATAACACCAAGTCATGGGTTCAGATCTCCAAACTGGCTAGCTGCCCCTCTCCAAAGGTAAACCCCTATGGGCTGGCCAGTTAGCTCAGTTGGTTAGAGTGTGGTGCTGATAACATCAAGGCCCAGGGTTTGGTCCCTGTACTGGCCAGCTACCAAAAATAAAAAAAAGAAGTATATCCCCAAACCAAAGAGTCAGTTTCCTGGATAAATATGAGTACATTAGGGAGTTTGGTATGGTGGTTAAGAACTTAGGGCTGGGGTTTAAGTCTTTACTCTGCTAGTGTGTAACTCCAGGCAAATTTCTCGACCTCTCTGAGACTTTTAAAAATCTCATCTGCAAAATGGGAATGTTTGTTCATAATTTACTAATAATTTATTCTTTATAAGGTCTCAAACTCATGGTATTCTTCTGAGGATTCCATAGGACAGTAAACACAAAGCACTTAGCAAGGTGTTTGGCACAGAGTATGCCCTCAAAAAATAGCTGTTGTTGTTATTATTAAAACAGAGAAATTCACTGGAGAATTCCTAGGGAGCTTAGAGGTCTTCTGCGGCAGGTGTTATTATTATCCTCCATTTAGTAAATGAGGTTATGGAGACTCAGAGAGATCAAGGGAGGGTCAGGAAAAAAGACCCAGGCCCCACCCCTCCAGAAGGGGAAGATGAGCTGTGCTGGAGAGGATCACAGGAGTAGCTGGACGTGCCTGGAGCCTCGGCCTCAGGGGTAGAAGCAAGGATGCCCAGATGTGGATTCAGAAGATGGGAATTCAAAGCTCAGCTTGGCAATTTCATAGCTGCATCATCCTGGGCCAGTCACTACTCCTCTGTGACCCTCGGTTTCTTCATCTGTACAATGGGGGAGGCAGCAATCGTAGAGGAGAGAACTGAGGGGGAAAGTGCATTGTGCAGCCCAAAGTGCTTGTCCTGAGGAGCCCCATTTAGACCCCCAGATGCACACAAATCTGCCCCTGGCTATTATCACCACAGAGCATGCTAGCACACACACGTGCACACCTGCTAACGTTTGGTCACAAATCTCCAAGATGACAGTGGGACATTTATGAGCCAGCACTTTAGTTTATAAAGCTAGCTTTCATTCTTTCTCTCTTACTGGATCCTGGCAAGACCTAATGAAGCACATACTCTTATTACTCCCGTCTTGTGGCTGGGGACCCTGACACTTTGAGGGGAGAAGTGGCTTGCCCAAGGTCATCCAGCTAGTGAGTGACAGGCCCAGGGGGGAACTCAGTTCTGCTTGAGGCCAAAGCCCATCTTTCTTTCACTTCCTTTTTAAGCACCTTGTCAGGAACAGTGTCAGAACAACGCTGCCCAGTTTTTAGCTTTCTGGTTTTCTAGTTTTCGGCCCCTGGAGTACCAGACCCAGGGCTCCTTGGGCAGAGTCCCAGCTCCATCCATAGACCAGTGAGTCAGACGCATCTTCTTTTCTGCTCTCTCCCTTCTATCTCCTTCCAGGCTCAGGCCTCAGCTTCACCCTTTAAAGGACCCTGACATAGGGGATCACCTGAAAGTGGGGAGAGGGGTGGATGAAGGGCTCTGATGAATCAAATCAGAGCTGAGGGTATTGTGCCCATTTTACAGAGGAGGAAACAGACCCAAAAGGTCAGGTGACTTGCTCGAGGTTACCTAGCCTAACTGTGGCAGGGGTAGTTATTCCGCTCTTCGGGGAGCCACCCTCACCACCCTCTGACCTTCATTTCTCTTCTTCCTGGCATCATCTGCAGGGAGCTGGACCACAGTGAGAAAAGAACACCTCAGGACAGGTTGTTGGGGCCCAACATGGAGGAGGCAGGTGAGCCCCTGGCTCCAGTCGAGGCCCGAGTGGTAAGTGCCACACTGACATGGCGACAGCGGCCCCCTGCCCAGGACGAGATCAGACACCGTTTTCACAAGGTGTCCCTGGTGTCAGGGGCCCAGATGGAAGCCCCCCAGGAGGAGATGCTTGAGTATAGCCACCGTGGAGAGGAAGTCAATGGCTTTGCTACCCGGGAAGAAGAGACTGCCAATTACCAGGACCCTCGGGATGGGGTTGACTCCAGGAACTTCCAGAGCCATGGGCCCATCTTTTCCAAGAAGTATACACCACCCCCCAAGGAGAAAAGGCCAGTGGGGAAGCTGCAGGAGACTGTAGACCACGCTGATGGCAGCCCCCAAGCTCCCAGGACTGAGCCACCAGGCTTGGGAACCAGGGCCAGGACTGAGCTCTTAGTGCCGCTGCCTGGGCCCCGTGAGCCGAGCCCCCACCCAGGTGTGGGTCTCCCCAGTGGGAGCTCCTGGAGCCGCGAGGAACGGCGAGTGACACGTAGCTCTTAGTGCCGCTGCCTGGGCCCCGTGAGCCGAGCCCCCACCCAGGTGTGGGTCTCCCCCGTGGGAGCTCCTGGAGCCGCGAGGAACGGCGAGTGACACGTACTGTGCGGACCACCACGGTGGTGGGAGGGCATGTGGAGCAATGGGCGAGCAGCTCTGTGACCATAGGGCCAACACTCTTGAGTGAGGCCCTGCCAAGGGGCCGCAATGTTGCTCGCACAGTGCGAACAGTGGTGGTGGGCCCCCGGGCTGAGGGCTCGCCCAGCCGCAGCCAGGCCGTGGAGCTGCTGAGTAGCCTTGTGCCCACGGAGCGCAGCACCCCTGCCAGCCGCCTCCCCAGGCCCATGGTTGTCATGCCAAGGAGCCCGGGTGTGAGTGGCACAGGAGGAGCAGACCTGGGACAGCTGCCTGAGACTGGGACAACAGAGCTAAAGGACAGCTCTGTCCGAGCTCCTGCAGGCACCCCAGCAGGTGCTCACCCACCTCAGAACCAGGATGACCCTGCAGCCCACGCAGATGAAGACCAGGGCAGAGCCCTGGATGCCAGGGCCTGTGAGCCCCCGAGGATTCAGGGAGCCCCTAGCCCCACTCAGCTCCCTCTCCAGACTTCTTGGGACCAAGCACCAGTACCCTCCTCTCCCAGACTCCAGACCCATCATGCCCCCTCTCTGGGCCCAGTCCACCCCCCAGAGCAGTCTGTGATGCCCACTTACCCCAGGGCCCAGCCAACTCCCCATGTCCTGCCCCCAATAAAAAGGGAAGGGCTCACAGATCCCCCTGCTGCCACCACCCTGCCTGTGGTGAGGATCAAGGTTGTTACAGTCCCTGGACAACCTCTTGTCCTATCCTCTGCAAAAAGGAAGGCTGACCCCAGCCCAGGAGGTCTTCCTGCTCCATCCTTCCCAGAGAATAACTTCGTTCAGGACTCTGAAAATGTCTCTATCTCCTCCCTTACTCAGAAAGAGGTTGTGCAGGGCCCTGGTGCTCCTACCGACCCATCCCCCACCCACAGAGAGGTTGTGCAGGGACCTGGTGCTCCTACCGACCCATGCTCCACCCAGAAAGAGGTTGTGCAGGGACCTGGTGCTCCTACCGACCCATCCCCCAAACCAGCAAGGGTTGTGCAGGGTCCAGAAGGCAGCCCTAGCACCCCAAAAGAGGTTGTCCAGGGCACTGAAGGCAGCCTTGCTCCTTCTCCCTCCATAGAAGAGACTGTGCAAGGCTCAAGTGCCCCTGCACCCCCGTTCCCCAAACAGGATAAGGTAGTCCAGGGCTCAGGTGCTTCTGCTGCCCCATTTTCTACCCAGAAGGTGGTTGTCCAGGGCCCTGCTATTCTCCTTGCCCCAGCCTCCTCAGTGGACAAGGTGTCCCCCAGTCCAGGAGGCACCCCTGCCCCAGGGCCAACTGGAGCAGAGGCTGGGATGGAGTCTCAGCTGGTCCCTGACTCCACTGAGGGCAAGATGCTTCCACAGTCATCAAGGGAGGAGGATGAGGTGGCCCTGGCTGCTGACCTGGAGATTTTCCTGGATACCCTGCGGAGCATGGAGCCCCCTGAGATCCTCCGCACTCACCGGCTGCCACGAGCTCCCCGCTCGTCCTACCTGGCCATGTATGCCACACTGCCTGCCATCGAGGAGGACCAGCCCGGGCCGTGGCTGCTGGGACCCAGCCCCCAGGAGGTGCCTGCCCTGGCAGAGGAGGAGGAGGAAGAGGAGTCTGAGGAAGAAGAGCCAGAGAACCCCTATCTGAGTGATGATGAGAAGCTCCAGCGCAGGCAGGAGAAAGCTGGGCCCAGCCCCTCCTGGGACTTCCGCCCGGCCAGGCCCAGCCAGGTCTCTTGCTCTCCTCTGCAGATGATGAAGAAGCACGTCGCAGGTGCCCAGGGTCCCCAACCAGAGCCGGGGCCGGAACTACCTGTGGGCAGCAGGCACACTTCCCGTCTCGGAGGTAGCCTTCTTTTTGGTGGTCTGGCACCCGCCACTAAGGAGGCCCCCGCCCTGGAACCACTGGGTGCAAAACTATCTGCTCTGCCACCTCATGGGGCACCAGGGCTCAGGAAGGTGCCAGGACAGTTGCCCCTGCTGTGCAGTGAAAGGCGGCTGCCAGAGAAGCCTGAACGTGCCCAGCCCCCAGCCCTGGAGGGGTGGGTGAGTGAGGCCTCGGGTGGGCAAGGGAGGTGCCTGGCCTCACCCGGGTCAGGGTTTGGGTGGTGTGAGGAGAGTGGTACTGGGAGTCAGAGACTCTGGAGGCAGGAGGCTTGGGTTGGAGGTCTAGTTCAGTTGACTTGTGTAGGCCATGTCTCTCTGGGCCTCGGTCTCCCTGTCTGTGCTGTGGGAGGTTTGCACTGTGGATTCCCAAGGGCTTGGTGGCTCCCATGTCTTGGAAGCTAGGGAAGGGGAGTGGTAGCACCCAGCTCCTGGGACAGGCTGATGAGGCCTCTGAACTCAGGAACGAGCGTGGCATCCTCTGTGGGCCAGCTCCTTGGGGGTGGAGGCCAATAGAGAGGATGTGGGATCCTTGGAATGGCAGGTTGTGGGGAAGCAGTGAGCAAGTGACCCCGTAAGGCTTCTTGTCACTCCTCCATTCCAGAGCCCAGCACTGAAGACCCAGGGCAAGCTGAACACCAGGCCCGGAAAGGTAGGGGTGTGGGGGCAAGTGGGTGGGGGCAGCAGGAGACAGGGACCTGGAGACAGGGCCTGAAGACCCCTTCTGTGCCTTCTCAGGTGGTCCTCTTCTCGGAGCCCGGCTGCCAAGGCAGCAGCAGGGAGGTCTGGGAAGACGTTGCTGATGCCTCAGGCTGGGCCCTCGTAGCCTCCATAAGGGTGGTGCGAGGCTGGTGAGTGGAGAGTGCCCAGCACAGGTCCTGGCTGTGACCCCAGGGGTGCAGAGGACAGGGAGGGTGCCCAGGCCAGCATGGCAGAAACCCCGTCAGCCATCCAGCGGCCTTGGGCCCCTCCTTCCCACCTATGACCCTGGGGTCTCTGCCCACAGCTGGGTGCTATACGAAGAGCCGGAGTTCCAGGGCCAGAAGCTGGTCCTCCCTGAAGGAGATGTGGAGCTCGGAGCCACGGGGCCAGCGTGGAGTACCCAAGGCATTGGCTCCCTGAGGAGGGTTGTCCGGGTGAGTGGGCTGGGGGTGGGGGCCAGATGTTGTCCATCTGCTCTGGGCCCTGGGCCCTGAGGAGGGAGACAGCCTTGGGTGCCTAGAGTTGGAATCTTTGGGAGAGATTATGTGGGGCAGGGGGTCGAAAGGGGTTTATTATGGACTGACCTGCAGATTGTCAACCTTTTAGCTGACTGGGCAAGGAAGGGATTCTGGGGAGCAGGGGCCAGGCAGAGGCCAATCCCCAGCTTGGGGAAGTTTGAACTGGTGCTGGAGCAGGACCAGGTTGGAGCAGCTGAGATGGGGTGGGAGTGGATGTGAGGTCACCTGCCACTCAGGGTCCAGGCTCTCAGGCCCAGAGTCAGACCCGAGGTGCCATGGATGTTTGTTCATTCATTTGCTCACGGATGCTCACTAATGTCCACTGTGTGCTAGGCACCATGCCAGGCAGTGGTCAGGTGGGGGAGATCTGCTTTCTGCCTTGCAGGGCTTATAGTCAAGCTAGGGTATGAGGGTTGGGTTTGAAGCAGGAAAGCCATATAACTGGACTGGGATTTAGAAACATCCCTCTGGGGCTGGCCTGTGGCTTACTTGGGAGAGCGTGGTGCTGACAACACCAAGTCAAGGGTTAAGATCCCCTTACTGGTCATCTTTAAAAAAAGAAAAAAGAAATATCCCTCTGGTTGCCAAGTGGAGAAAAGACTGGGGATCCTGGAGGCAGTGAGACAAGGAAGGGCTGGGATTTCCAGCTGAGGGGCACCTCTGATTTTTGAGGGAGAGGGCTGTGTGGTTTGCAAAGTCAGTGTTAAAATTTCATATTTGTAAAGCAAAAAACAACAACATTGTTCTCACAGAACAAATTTACAAACTACTGAAATTAAGCTGAACAAAACCATCTTGACCTCTAGGGAGACCCAGAAGAAAGTGCAATGACTCCAAAGCAGGACCTAGCAGACGTTTGGGGCTTTTTTGTTTGTTTTTTGTTTTTAATGAAAGGATGAATAACTGAGTCCAGAGCTGTTGCAATATTCTTGGTAGGAGATGGCAAGAGTGGATGAGTCTTAATTAGTGCAGTGGCCCAGGAGGAGGGTATGAGAGTTTTCAAAGCCTCTCCAGAGACACACAAATGTTTGTGGACTATTTATTGTGAGATGCTCTATTTGTTGTGAGTGTCGCACGATAAATTCATCTTCATGTGGGAGGTAATGAGGTTCAAGAGAAAAAAAAGCTTTGAAGTCAGACGGTCCTGGATTCATTTGATTCATTCAGCATGGATTGGGCACCAACCATGCACCAGGCATGGGGCAAGTGCTGGGTTGCAACGGTGAACAAAAACTACACTGCTCTGTTCTTGGCTTTGCTACTTACACGCTATGTGACCTCGGGCAGTTTGCTGAGCCTCACTTTCTTCATCTGTGAATGGAGTAATAACACCACTGGGAGGACTAAATGGGATGGGGAGGATGTGACCTTTGCACAGTGCTTTGCCCTCAGTAGAGGCTTTATAAACATTTGGTGAATGACTGGGATGAAAATAATCCTAGTAAGAAAGAAAGCCCAAGAGTGCAGAGAGGATCTGCTGCTTCCAGGGCTGAGGTGCAGGCAAAGCCAGTCTGAACAGAGGCAGGAATCACACATAACGGAAGGGTCAAAGTGGGACATCAGGAGGTGGCTGTCCATGTTGCCCATCCCTCCACCAGCTGGAAGTTAGGCTACCCAGAGGCAAGGGGATGAGCAAGGTGCTTTGCACGTTCTCCTGGGAACTTTGGTCTTGGGTCCCAAAGGCCCAGCAAGGGCTTTGGTCTCAGGCCTGGCTAGCTGACCTTGCAGAGAAGACCCCAGTTACCCTCCTGGTTTATGGGGGAATGGACACAAATGTTTTCCCAGAAGCCCCCTGGACCCCTGACTGGACAGTCTTGGGAGTGGGGCAGAAGTGGGGCAGGGGTGGTCTCCAAGGCATGCTGTTTTACATTTCACTTCCCACCCCTCCTTCCGCAGGACTACAGCATCCCGGAGATCCTTCTGTTCTCTGAGAAGGGCTTCGAGGGGGACCAAGTGAAGCTAACTGGGGCCCTGAAGGACCCCAAGGGCCTGGAGAGGCCCCTGAAGGTGGCGTCTGTCACTGTCTCTGCAGGATTGTGAGTTTGGGCTATTTTGAAATTCTTTCATTTAACATTCACTGTGCTGGGTGCTGGGGACACACAAGTGACAGGACATAGCTCATACCTTCAAAAGTGCTCAGTCTACGGGTGGGGACGGGCAAGTAAACAGACAATAGCAATCCAGAGTTCTGGGCTGGGGGAGCACAGGGCTGCGGGAGCTTGGAAAAGTACCAAACCAGCCAGGGCCAGGTGAAGTGGGGGAGTCAGAGAAGTCTTCCTGGAGAAGGAGACACCTCAGCTCGGATGAGTTGGTCTAGAATCTAAGCTCCATGAGGGAAGGGATTTTGTATGTTTTGTTTACTACTGTATCCCTGATGCCCAAAGCGGGGTCTGGCCCAGAGTAGATGGCCCTAAATATTTGTTAATTGAATGAATGGGGAAAAGAGCATATCTGGCAGAGGGAATAGCACATGCAAAGGCCCGTAGGTGAGAGATCTAAGCTTCAAAATTTCAGCCTGAGGGCTGGCCCATGGCTCACTTGGGAGAGTGTGGTGCTAATAACACCAAGGCCACGGGTTTGGATCCCTGTACAAGGATGGCCGGTTAGCTCACTTGGGAGAGCATGGTTCTAACAACACCACGTCAAGGGTTAAGATCCTCTTATCAGTCATCTTTAAAAAAAAAAAAAAGAAAAAATTCAGCCTGGCCAGTGTAAGCAGCAAGTAGAGAGATATGAGGCCCAGATGGTGCTAACAACACCACGTCAAGGGTTAAGATCCTCTTATCAGTCATCTTTAAAAAAAAAAGAAAGAAAAAATTCAGCCTGGCCAGTGTAAGCAGCAAGTAGAGAGATATGAGGCCCAGAAGGAAGGAAGGGGCCACATCGCAGGGCCTTTTTGTGTAGCTGGGCTTTATTGTGAGGCTAACAAAGAACTACTGGGGGTTTTTAAGCAGATATGTGTGCCGTTGAATTAGATAGGGCAAGGTCAGAGGAAGGGAGACTGTGGAGTGGCCACTGCAAAAGACTACAGGGGACTGAAAATGTCCTCTAGAGTCCCCCTGTTGGGAGCCTCCCGCCAAACCTCCTCCTCCTCTCTTGATCTTCCTTCCTATCCACCAATCTATATCCCTTAGGGTTTGGGGTACAGCAGCCTCTTTGCCTTCCCCCAGGTGGCTGTTGTACCCCAAACCGTTCTTTGAAGACACCCCCTTCATCCTGGAACCTGGAGAGTACCCCACCTTGGAGGCCTGGGGTACATCGGATCCCACTGTGGGCTCCCTGAAGCCCATGAGATTGGTAAAGAGCAGGACACACCCACAGGCCAATAGGTCTGCGCTCTGCTTCTGGTCCCAAGTAGTCTTGTGTGGCCCTGCAGTCTAGGAAGGAAGGGTGGTCGGGGGGGATGAAATGTAAAACAGCACCCTTTGGAGACTATCCCTTGGGAGATCTTACTGGGAATGAGGATTGGAGGAGAGGAAGGATTAGTCCAAGGGGTGGGGGAGGGAAAAGACATGGGGTTGGCCATCTTTAGGGGTCCCAGGGTCAAGAAAATCCCAGGTCCCAGCTCCACCTGTCTTCCTCCACCTCTGGGCTGGTGTCTCAGCTGTATCTCCTCTGCAGGGCTGCCCAAGTGTGGAGAAGCCAGGGGAGCCCAAGGTAAGACTCTGGGCTACAGGGTCAAAGAGGGCCTTGGGTGGGGGTAGTGGTGGTGGTGTGGCCATCGTGGCCTGGACTGGAAGACCAGAAAGGAAGATGCTGGGGACCAGCAGCTGGGTCTGGGAGGAGAGAACCCGATGGGCTCACTGGGAAGTGGCTTTTGATATGGGAAGGACCAAGCAGAGGTCAGAGTAGAGTTAGGTAAGGAGATGGAGCTCAGTGAGTGGGTGGGAGGGCTGGGGGAAGAGAGCTCTGGGCCAGATGCTGGCTAGGTCTGGGTCCCCATGAGTCCCCACCAACCTGACATTCTCCCTCAGGCTGTGGTGTATGAGGCCCCACACTTTCAGGGCCAGAGCTGGGAAGTGAGCAGAGACATCTACAACCTGCAGCAACCAGAGGACAGCCAGAGCCCCCACCTGGCCTCTGTCGGGTCCCTGCGAGTTCTAGGAGGCTGGTGAGGACTCAGGACCCTTATTTCTGCCTCATCACTCCCACTGGCTTTTACCTTTAGGGGTGGGGAGCGACCACTAGGGGTGGGGACAGCCGCCTTATCCATCTGTGGGCTTCTTGTGACTGAGTGTATCTGCCCATCCTCCCTCTTCCACCAGCTGGGTGGGCTACGAGAAGGAAGGCTTCCGGGGCCACCAGTATTTGCTGGAAGAGGGGGAATATGCCGACTGGTCACACTGGGGAGGCTATGACGAATTGCTGACCTCCTTACGGGTCATCCGGACGGTAAGCAAGGGCAATTGGGCCATCCCTCTGCCTCTGGCCACAGCCAGACTTCCCCCAGTGCAGTATGTGGAGGGAAGAATTGGTACCCCCTGCCCTCTTTTCCCTGGAAGTGTTCTCTGAGGGTTCCTTCCTGCTGCTCTTCCCCAGGCCACACTGAGGGCCTGACCCCTAATTACCCGGGTGGGCTACAACCCTGGGGTCTGGGCACTCTCAGGGGTTTCCGTCTGTGGGCTGGGAGAGACCTGACTGTCCCTGGGGCCCAGGACTTCGGGGACCCGGCCGTGGTGCTGTTTGAAGCCATGGACTTCGAGGGGCACGGCGTGGAGGTGAGCAAGGCATTGCCGGACGTGGAGCTGGTGCGACACGGCCCCAGCACGCAGGCCATCCACGTGCTCAGCGGCGTGTGAGTGATCCCGGGCGGGGAGCGGGGCGGGCCGGGGGCGGATCCAGGAGAGGTGCCGTCTCCACGCCCGCTGACCCGCTCCCCGCCCTTCCTGCAGGTGGGTGGCCTATCAGGAGGTGGGCTTCTCTGGGGAGCAGTACGTGCTGGAGAAGGGCGTGTACCGTAACTGCGACGACTGGGGCGCAGGCAACAGCGCCCTCGCCNCGGGGCCTTGGTGTTATCAGCACCACACTCTCCCGAGTGAGCCACGGGCCGGCCCGAAATTAGCTTTTTTAGAGGACCCAAAAAAGGTCCACACATTGCGTTTTGTCAATTTGGTCTCTATAATAGTCCCCCTCCTCTTCGTTTCATACCATTTACTTATTTAAGGAAACCCAATAATTTGTCCTGTAAGTTTCCCATATTCTATATTTGGCTGATTGCTTCCTGGTAGTGTCTTTCAACTTGTTACTCTGTCCCCCATATTTCCTGTAAAATGGTAGTTAGAGCTAGAAGCTTGATTAGATTCAGGGTTCTTTGTTTTGTTTTGTCTTTTTGGCAAGAAGATTGTATAGGTGGTGCCATATGCATAACATTAGGAGGCACAAAATGTCTGGTTGTCCTAATTTTTTTTTTTCAAAGATGACCAGTAAAGGGATCTCAACTCTTGGCTTGGTGTTGTCAGCACCACGCTCAACCAGTGAGCGAACCGGCCATCCCTATATAGNGGGGGCGTGGGAGGGGGCGGGGCTAAAGCAAGCCGGGGACCAGGGAGAGCCGCGGCGGGGTTGACAGTAACCAAACCAAGAGGAGCTGAGGAGAGGGGCCGACAGCTTCCTTAAGTCGCGAAACTTTGGTCCTTCCCTTCAGGTCGGGGAGCATGATCTGCACTTTGTCTCAAAGGTAAGGAGCGGGAGGCAGGGGACTCCTCGGGGAGCTGGTGGGGGCGCACATGTCCCTTTCCCTCATCTCGAAGCTCTCCCCGCTCCACCATTCTCTCTGTCCCACTCCGTCGCCCTCTTTCACTCTCACCTCCTCTCCTTGCCTCCAGATCCAGCTTTTCTCCGGCCCCGACTTCCTGGGCGAGCATATCGCCTTCGAGGATGACCAGGCCTTTCTGGACGCCTCCTTCCAGCCCCAGTCCTGCCGTGTCCACGGCGGCAGGTGAGGACGCGGAGCGGGTGGCGGGCGGGGTGTGCTCGGGGCGCGCGGGGGGAGCGCCTGCCCTGAAGCGCTTCACTCGGTTTAGGAATCGGGGCTGCAGGAGGAGGGTCTGTCGGATGATTTCCTTCCTCCAGCCTCCTTGGCATTACTTGTTTTGTCCTGAGACATTCAATTTTAGAACAAACAAAATAAAATTTTAGTGGAAAATGTAAAGCTGTAGATAGTAGACAGTATAGTATAAAGAACCGCAATCTTGTTTCCTGTATACCTCTTCTTTATTTCAAGTGGAGTAATTTAAATCCCCGACCCAACATAAAATTTCACTGGTGAACACTTCAATATGTTTCTCTAATATGAAAGAACTTTCCTCCCACATAGCTACAACTCATGATCATATCTAATAAAATTAGCAAGGATTTGTTAATACTACCTAATATCCAGTCCACGTTCAAATTTCTCCCATTGTCTCAAAAAAGCCTTTGTGAAATTAGCTTTTTTTTTTTTTTTT